TCTGGAGAAAGACATCAATAAAACGATTKCAGAGGATTATGGGAAGGACAAGGTCAAGACGGAAGCTATTGATCTTCTCCAGAAAGTGGTAAAGTGTGCTTACGTCATTGCATGACATCAGTATTGTGTCGGGATCCCAACTCCGTAGGAGTTTCGGAAAATCATACACTTATTTGTCGAATACTCGTTTAAATTTCACGAGACTAAGCAACTCAAACTAGCAAAAATGACTCGAATACAAAGTTCRAGATTGTCAATAACAAGATAGTGCACCTTCAGCTGTGCACAGGCATCCCATCCTCGCCACAGGRTACCCGTTGTGACTATATATAATTAAGTGAGCGTAGCGTCTATTACGCAAGTATATACATACGTGCTTGCGGTATGTGGACCCAAATTTTTAAATCATGAGAAATTTTCCACATATATTTTTGTAGCTCAGAGACTAGTATCTGGTGGATTATGGGAAGCACTGTAGCTCACGCTTGTTCTGAGTACAGCACTGTGCAGCACTTGTAGACCTCGAATTTCCTTTCAAAATAATGGAATTTAAATTCATTTACTAATAATTACTTCTTTTGATTAATACAGGAAAAGTGCTGTGGTGCTTTAAGCTGGAAGGATTGGGTTATCAATCCTAGCTACAACATCACTAAAGTCCCTGATTCTTGCTGTGTCGAWGAAAAGTCTGGTTGCGGGTCATCGTTCTATGATCCTAAAAAACCGAATGACTTGTCAAAGATCTACACTACTGTGAGTGCATATGAATTCTTTAGTAATGCTGTGCTGTGAGTAGGGCTGGACTAGCCTCCTCCGCAGGCAACCCTTGTATCTTCCTCTTTGGCTCAAAAGCCTTTTTCGCCACAGGAAGCCCAAAAAGCCAAAAGCGAGTAGAGTTGCCTGCGGAGGAGGCTAGGGCTGGACATTAATAGATGTATTTCACACTGAGCACCATTGAAATTTACTATCACCAGACATCATTGACCATCAATGACTATCGATGAGAGCCATTCATTATCACCAGATATCATTGACCATGTGTGACCTGTGAGTGCATATGAATTCTATAGTAATGCTGTGCTGTGAGTTCTATT